CCGTACTTCCCTAGCTGCTTCCCCCTTAACGGGGCATACTAAGATAACCATTAAAACCTTCTCAACCCAGCACCCAAGTCTTACTCAACACATAACCAAACACCGAGATCCTACTACTACCCTCTAACACCGAGCTACCAGCTCAACTGTCCATGACCCTGAACGAACCTAATGCGGTTCTATTCCTCTTAATCCTTTCCCCTGCAATAACCAGGGGGTCACCGAGAGGCCGCCATCCATGGTAATCGAAGCCAGCTTACCGTCTTTCGCCCAGGTGTTGTGGAACCACGCGGCCACGCCAGACCCTTCTTCCGGCTCTGTTTCACATTTTGCCAGTCAGCATATATAGATTGTCGTAACAACGAAAGAAATTTGGGGATCTGTGCCGAAATGTTCTGAGGTTCCTTTTCTGAATATCTTGTTGTTTCTAGCGCTCCAAATGACTTCCATGGCAGCTCCTCTGCAGACCAAGGCCACATATCCCCATCCCGAGGTTAGGTCGCAATCCTCCGGACATTTGCCGTGGAGGATCCATTCATGTGACCAGTGGAAATTCCCTCCTGAGATGGCTTTCCAGTGGGGGGTCTACCAGGTCCACAGCTGGAGTGATAGGGGACAATATAGCCATAAATGGCTTCCTGTTTCCCAGCCCCAGTTACATCTTTCACATTTTTCCTCCATCTCCATCCCTCTAGATGCCAACCACGAGGCGGAGGGTGTTACTGACATTGACTGCGCCCACATTATACTTGCTTGTTTCTGAGACAGCATACTTCTCAGAGCTCTCCACAGCTTAGGCAGATTTGTATCTCCCATCTGGGACCCCTGCTCCCTCCGGAGTCTTTCCGCTGCTGTAGCTATAGCTTGAGACTTTCTAGAGGCCTGTAAAATTCTCACCCCTATCTTAGTCTTGTAGTACATAACCGGGTACAGCTTCTCTGTAGAGTCCACGTCCTTCCAACCATATAACAGAGGTTCTATGAGAAGCCGCTCGGGCGAGCGGGTGATAAGAGTTGGTTCTGAGTTCCCAGACTCCGAACACCACACTCTAACCTCCTGCAGGTCCTCAGTCGAAGGGATAACCTTTTCTTCTAAAAGTCTCAATCTGCTAGGGGTTCCCATCCTGCACTGTTCCATCCACACTTGGACTCTAGTTCCTTGGTCCAGCTCTGCGCCCATGATTTTAATAATCCTTCTGGCCTTGTCAGGATCTTCCCACCACGTGTCTTGTTGTTTTAACCCTGTATTTCTCAAGGTGAGAAGCCAGAACTCAGGGATCGCTTGCTGCAGTCTTTGGAGGTTGGCTTGTACATTCTGCAAGTGCGGAAGTGTCTGTTTCAAGCTTTCAACAGTCTTCCAGTCCTCAGTATGACTATCCCAAATATCCTTTATCTGAACCACCCCCCTTTCTATCCACGAACGCCCAAAGGAACCTTTGTGACCGTCAGCCAGGAAAGTTGAGCCATCCGGCTGTTTTATAAAGTCATTCTCAAACAGAATCTGCTTCAACACCTCCTACTGGGTAGTCGGGGGTTTCCTGTAGGTAGGGAAAAAATTACTCCAAGCATAAAGGATATGTTTCCATACTTTAGACTTCGGTCTTCTCTTAACATAGGAAGGAATAAACAGACAAATCCATACATGTTCAGGACATGCTAACTTCCATTCTTTTGCCAATATGGCTTCCGCTAGTCTCACCCATAACTTATCCCTATTTCCAAAAACTGCCGAGATTACCCATTTGCCCAGAAGACCCAGATTCTGCTGAACTGGGTCGAGGATTCCCAGACCCCCCTGGTCTCTAGGGGCTGAAATTATCTCCCGGGCCACTTTCACTAGGAAACCTTGATGTTCAGAGGCCGCAGGTTTCCACAGGTAGCGAGCAGCACTCCTCTTGATACTTTTATACGCTCCTTGTCCCAGCAGATGAATTGAAAGGGGGAACCACAGTATGGAGAGGGCCGCAGTTGACAACACTAACGCCCGACCATACAGCGACAGCTTGTGATTGCGAATCCATCCCTCAATCCTTGAGGTCACCTTCTCCACCAGCAAGGAATCCTGGACTTCTGCACAGTCAGACAAGGAAACTTGGACTCCCAAAAAACGATCAGCAGAATTAGCTGGTATTCGTCTCAGACCCCAATCTACACACAATACCTTGGGCGGGGGAAGAAAGAATACTGATTTGTCCCAGTTTATTGAAGCCTCAGATAAGACACAGTAATTACCTAATACTCGCATTAATTCTGTTAGCGCTGCCGGTGTATTTTCGCATGCCACAGTCAAATCATCGGCTATAGCTCCACCCTTCCACTGAGTGTAGGGGGAGACCCTCAAACCTTGTATTAGACTATTTGCTCTTATGTTCTCTAGCAAAACTTCTAATTGCAGCACAAAGAGCAGGGGGGCCAATGGACACCCCTGTCTCAATGACCTAGTAAGGGTGAATTCCTCTAATAGCTTACCGTTCACCACTACTACTGACTGCGCTTGGTGGTAGCTCGCCTGAACTGCCTTGCCAAACCTTTCTCCAAAGCCCATCTTTTTTAGTGAGGTGTGCACGAAGCTCCAGCCTACTTTATCATAGGCCTTTTCCATATCTAATAAAAGTATGGCCACATCCCTTTTTTCCTTTCCAATTATTTCCAATGCTTGTACCGTTGCCATTATATTGTCGAAGATGGATCTCCCTTGTACGAAAACTCCTTGTTCCCAGCCAATTAGTTCCGACAAAAGTTTTGCCAAACGGATTGCCATTGTCTTAGCAAACAGTTTATAGATCACGTTTAACAGGGATGTCGGTCTCCAGTTCTTCACCTGTCTTTTATCCCTTTTTTTGTACAATAACGTAATCATCCCTTTGGTGAAGCTGGCCGGAAACCTCCCCTGTTCCAGTGCCCTATTATAAATTTCGCACAGGAAGGGGGCAAAAGCATCCCAGCATGTTAAATACAGTTTTATCGGTAGGCCATCCAGGCCAGGGCACTTTCCGGTGGCCATCTGTTTTGCAGCCTGCCAGATCTCATTTGGCGTCATTGGTTTATCTAGTTCCTCTTTATTTTCTTTTGAAATCCGTTTTGGGAATCGATCCCAAAAGTCCGAGTACTGAGAGAGGTCCAGATTCGGGGGGTCAAAGTGGCGTCTTGTTGATACTATGCCTCGGTAGTACTCCAAGGCATAGGAGCACAGATCTGTAGTGGTTGTGGCCATGGGAGCACTGATAGCAAACGGGTGTATCAATTATCTCACTAGCGGCTTGGCCTGGCGTAGAACTAAGGACCTAAAAGTTAGTTTAGTCATTCGATCATAGCCTATAATCCCTCTAATTCTAAGCCTCTCTTGCCATTCATTCTGTTTCTGGATTTCTAATAGTTCCAATTGTGATATGTATTCAGTCCTTTTACCTGTCCAATAGTAGTCCGCAAAAGGGTCTGTACCCATTTTCTTTTCTGCCTCTTTTATCGCTCTGATTAGAGATTTTTCCTTCCAGGCACGGCTGGCGGGCTTTATTCCTGAAAATTCAATAAGAGCTGCTTGTATAATTCTCATCCCGCTCTCAGTCCAGACTTCAGTGTCTTCAAACAGATCCTTGGCGTTGCACCAGGTCTGCATTTGGGTAGTTACCCAATTTTTCACTCCCTCGTCCTTAAGGACATGTACGTTAAGTCTAAAAGGAGGCCGATGTCTGTCCACTATGTCCTTTGCCAAGACTTCCATTAAGACAGGTTGATGGTCCGACAGGGAGTTAGTTCCCACATCGCACCATATTGCTCTGTCCCAAAGGGCGCCCCAGACCAAAAAAAAATCTAGACGCTTGCGCGGTGCCGGAGCAATTTTCGTTGGTTTAGGACCATACCAGGTGAAGCCATTGGTCTCTGGATTAAAAATCCTGTAACTATCATCGAGAAATTGAGCTTGAGTGAACTGTGATAGCATTAATGAGTCAGTCCTCAACGGCTTTACTTTGAGGGAATCAAGCCCTGGGTTGAATATTGTATTCCAGTCGCCTGCCACCATTAAATTCTCCGTGTCAGGCAAGTATGCTGATAGGTCGGCCAGAAAGTCAATTCTGTCCTGGAAGTGGACTGGTGCGTAGACTGTCATTATAGCCCAGTCTTCCTCCCCAATTGCGAACTTAATCCAAGCTAATCTTCCATTGGAATCTACATATCTGTCTAATTCTTCCAGTTCTACATCTTTATCCATTAAAATTGTCACCCCTCCTCTCGAGCCCTGAGCTGGGGCCCACACCTGTGGTCCCACCCACCAATCTTGGATGATGTCCTTTAATTTCTCCTCGTCCAATTTTGTTTCTTGCAGACATATGAATTGAACGTTATTAGAGTGAATCCATTGTTTCAATCTCGCTTTCTTATTTTTTCTGTTTGAATCTCCCAGGCCCCGCACATTCCACGATGCAAATTTAAACCTTGCTGGTAGGACCATTAGGAAGGTCCTTCCCGCGTGGTTTTTGGATGCGGCCTTGCGTCAGTGTTCTTCCCTTCAGAGGGTCCCTGTGTTTCTTTCCCCTTTCTCCTCCTTACTTGCGGGAGGAGAGAAGGTTAACAACAGTCGTATTTCTCATCACCACTTCAGGACTCCCTTCACCACTTTAGGATGCAGCCAACCTACTTAAACAGGTGGTTTTCAGGGTCTTCGGACCATTCACCACTTCAGGACTATTCAGGTTTGAAAAAACCTGAATGGTCCTGAAAAAACCTGAATGGTCCTGAAGTGGTGAAAGCTTCGAAGACCCTGAAAACCACCTGTTTAGGCAGGCTACATCCTCAAGTGGTAAAGGGTGGTTTTCATGGTCTTCAGACCTTTCACCACTTCAGGACCATTCAGGATTTTCAAAATACCCAAAAAGTCTCACTTGACCTCTTCAGGACACTCTTCACCACTTCAAGATGCAGCCTGCCTAAACAGGTGGTTTTCAGGGTCTTCGGACCTTTCACCACTTCAGGACCATTCAGGATTTTCAGACTGCCCAAACTCTCACTTCAGAATTTTCATTCATGAATTTTCAGCTACCCGATAACCGCTTGTGTGCGGGAGGGGAGCAAAGGTCCGTTGCAAGGGACTCTGCAAAGGTTTCAGACATCAACGAGTCACTCAAATTTGACTGAGAGATCCATTCTGCTATTACATGAGCAGTCACTTCCCCTTTTATTTCAATATTCTTTAGCACATCCAGTCCTACATCCAGAAAGTGAGACAGCGGGATCCACACAATCTGCTGATTTTTAAGACTTTGTATGGCATTGGCCTCGCCTCTGAGAACTGCAAACCCGGAGCGTTCACGAGCATACGGCCCCTTTTCGGTTCCGGGAGAATGGAGCTGCTGCAGCAGACTGCGAGCACATTTACCTTAATTTCCCGCATTAGTCTTGTGTCCGTCAAAAAACCATTGGACACAATTGCGGGTAGAAACTGAGATTCATTGTGGTCAAGTTTTGTTAGCACCATCGGCCCATGCGAAGACATGGTGCAGATAAGTGGAACATTGAGCTCCTTCGTTACTGCCCTAGCCTTATCTGATCTTGAGATTGTTTGAATTGGTGGCGCCGAGGTTAGTTGTTTAACTATTCGGCTGGTCTGATCCTTTCTCCTTCATGGTTGTTTGAGAGGACTCTCGTCTCCGGCCGCAGCCTGGGTTTCACTTGGGCCAGCTAGGGCGTTTCCTCTCATAACTGCATCAGATGTCAGATCCGAACCTTTTTATTTCTCTGGGCTGGTGATAGCTTCATGACAGTCCGTGAAGTCCTCTCCCGGAGAGGAGATGTCCTTGCCTGGGTTAGAGGAGTCATCGTACCTCTTGGCTGGGGTTTCCGTACCAAAAGTAGCGTTATCATACACGGTGGCGGGATGCCGGCCAGGGCCGTAAGACCAATTTTAGCTCCCTCTTCCTCTTCCTCCCCCTCCTCTTCCCCATCACTCTCGTCACTCAGCGAGAAGGAGTCTTCCCATTTTTGTATTTGGCATTTCTCTTCTTCTTCACTCTCATTCTCCTTTTCGTCTTCTCTATCTGCTTCGTCTGTTTTTCCCCCTTTCCGTGTATCCTCTGCTTCTGAGTCTCCCTGACTTTCCTCCTCTTCTTTCCGTTTCCTTTTCTCTCGACCCCTCAAGATGTCCTCATCCATCTGATCTTCCCCGTCCTCTCCTAAATCCTCGTCCCCATTCCCTCTTCCTCCCTCTCCCTTTCCAGAGCCATCTCCACCCTCCTTGTCCACTTCCATGTAACGATCGAGCCCTGGTTCGGGGAGGACCTTTTCAATCCCTCGAGGGGGTACCACCTTCTCCCATATGTCCTCTTCGTCCGGTCGGAGGGCCCACCCACTACCCTCGGGCTCATCCCTGGATTGACTTTTTTCTTTTTCATGGTTCGGGACCGGGTGTGGGGGCTTACGAAGCTCCTTCTGCTTCTTCTGTGGGGAATTTTCTTTTCACTTCAAATTTCTCGTCTTCTCCGTCTTCCCATCGTCATCTGAAACAGATTTCGTCGGTAGACTTTTTCCCTTTACCTTGTCTGCATAAGAGGTTCTTTTCCGGCTCGGGCAATCGGGATCTTCTTCTGAGTGGAAATGTTGCCTGCACCTCGGACACCAAGGGGTGGAAGCACATACCACTTCTATTTTGACATGTCCGTCTCTTCCCAGATCCACCACAAGGTATCGCTTACAGCGCAACCTCGTTGCTGATTCGAGGTCAAAACGAACATTAACAAGGTCGGGGGACATTTGGTCCTTGTATGCTGGGAATTCTCTGACCACTTTACCAAAGGCGTCTTCCACAGTTCCGTATAACGGTGCTAAGGCAGCAACGGGAACCTGTTGGCATCTTACCCAAAAGAATTTATACTTCGAGCTCTGGTTCGGTCATCCATGGCCGAATGGAGGTTGTGTATTGCTTGTTATCTAAAACGAGATTGACCTGTCCCACGCGAAGCATGTATACGGCTATTTCTTTGGCCGTTGCTACATAGGTTACTAGGTTCTTTCCTTCGTCGTTATGAAACAACCCTCTCTTAGGAGGGGTTGTAACCTCCTCACCTGTAGCCCATCCCTTTTCGTACAAATGGACCAACCGTTTCTTAACATCAATGGGTAGGGATGTGGACTCATCTCCGAAGAAAACCGACACTGCATGCTCCCGGAGCCATTCGGCTTGGATCTGGTATACTTTCGGGTTTATCGTTACCTTCACAAAGTCATCCCCCGCTTCAACAATATTAGGTGCTAGTTTTTTGGGGAGGACACCGTCAAAAGTAACACTTGGAAAGAATTTCCCTTATCCGATCTTTTTCCTCTGTCGAAATACTCGACGAGGAATTTGACGGACCAGCTACAGGCAATTCCATATTGACAGCCTGTTTTGTAATGATATCATTAACCCCCACGACTGTATAAGAATCCCTTCCTACTTGTCGTAGCTAATAATTTAAAATAGATAAGAACTAAACTGAGGCTTCAATAAATCAGTTAAAAACAGTTCCCCCACCCAAGGTAAGGAGCGAGATTATACCATAGCCCTTAAGGCTTTGAGGGAGACCTTCATCCGCTGTTCAAGTGGAAATGCCCGAAGGATCACCACCTGTCTTGCCGCATATCTTATAGCTTCGTTGGAGAGCTCGAACCAGTCGACTTCTGTTATAATTATTCTCCAAATCAATCGCCCTCGTTAAAGATGGTTAATCATTCCCCTTCTTTGGTTATTAATTCGTTCCACTGCACCTTGGCTTTTGACTCCTTGCGACTCGCAGCTCCAGCCAGACCCCGGTATTCCACGGCGGTTCTCACACTAAACTCTTAATGCGTGGCTGGTTCCACGGAGGCTTTCTTCCTCGACAACACCGAGGACGAAAGTTGTCCGTTGACGGTAGGGTTCTTCGCTGTGTCTTCAGGCCCGTCTTCCATTGGCACTCCCGATGGGTCGCGCAAGAATAGCACAGAGTTCCGAAGAAAAAACAAGCCATTCTTCCGAAGAAAAAACAGTTTGTAATAGCCACGGTGGAATCTCTAAATTTTTGTAATAGTCGCGGTGGCTATTACAAACTGTTTCAACTCTGACCATTGGAGGGGTGACCATTGGTGGGCGCCGTAGTTTTCTCTAAATTTAACCTCAACTCTGACCATTGGAGGGGTGAGCTGTTCATTTCTTCTAACTGCAGAGTTCCGAAGATTCCACAGCGCCAAGAGGATTGCCCCTCTCGGCGTTTCTTCTGCATAACCCAGTGGGCCAATAGACGATTGTCTACAGGACGCGTTGCCCAACAGGACAAAATCATCCATCCATCTTAAAGCACTGTCGGGGATCGGGGGGGAGTCACCCCTCCACCATTCCCAAAACGTTCTGGACAAGTCACAATGAAGGAACATGTGTTGCAAATCTTCAATTTTAGTTCCTGAACATACAGTACACAAAGGAGAGGCTTTGGTCGTCCTTCTTGCACACCAGGCGGCCGTCGGTATCGCCTGGTGCATAGCTAGCCTTAACAAACTAGCTTGTTTAACAACCACAAGTCCAGCAGCAGTTTCCAAAAGTGCGGCAGTGCAGAAGCTAGTCGTTCCACCGTGTCTGTCACCCAGCCCGTAGCGACCCAGCATTTGGCCACCTTCCATCCAATGTCCAAATCAAGCCGGGCCAACTGATACCCCAGTTTCGTGGAATATTCGTAGAGGCACAGCTGATCCATAGGTTTGAGCGGGTGCACCCAGCCCCAATCCAATTCGCAAGCCGGGACCGAGATTGCAAAAGGCCGAACACACTCCGGATACTGCAATACACACACTGAAGTGAGTTGTGACAGCGGAGGTAAAGGCGTCTGTTGTTCTTCGAGAATCATCGGTTGCCCCAAATATTGCTGTTGTTCTAGCAGTCTCCAAGTCGATGTCCGCACTTGGCCCAACTGCAGGATATTGTCAACCTTCCACAGGTGAGCAGGTTTGTCCTCATCTGACTTTCTATACCACATGTCCGTCTGCAGCACTTTGCCTGCCCTTAGCGTGTCAACCCATTGGGGAGGCATTGCATTACACAAGGTTGCCAAATGCTGAGATTGGTATCTGAGACCAGACAGTGTGTGCGACAACTGTGATGCTGTTTTCCAGTCCCCCAGGCAGGGGTCCCAGATGTCAAACACCGTCCCCACTCCCCTGGCCATCCAGGAGTCTCCAAACGCTCCCCGTCCAAAACAGGGAAAAGGTAGGGCATTTTCTGCCAGGATCCGGGGATTTTCGAAAAGAGGCTGCGTGAGAATGCGTTCCATAACCAACGGTGGTGGCCGCAAGTGTGGGATGCAATTTTTCCATGCCTGCAATATACCTTTCCATACTCCATCTGGCAGTTTCTTTCTTAAGTAGGCAGGAACGCAGGTTGCTTGCCAAACACACCTTTTGTCACGCCAGTTCCAGACACTCATCAAAAAGAAGTTTGCCAACTGTCGCCATGGGCAAGTCGGACCAACCAATATTGCCCACGGCACCCATCTCATCAACAAGGCTGTTATCTGTCGGGTAGGGTCCAAAACAGAGAGACCCCCCAACCTCTTGGGCTGAGTAACAGTGGCCCACGCCACTTTAGTAAAAAAAACAGTATCATTATCGTCCTCCTTCCATAGATAATGCGCCAGGATGTGCAGCAGTGCAGCTCGAGCTGCCTGAGTCAACTGAAAAAGGGCCCGTTGGTACCAAATAGTAGAGAGCACCGAATTATTAATAACGGCTGCTCTGCCCATCAAGCTCACCCCCCTTTGTTTGACCCAGGGAGCCAATGCTTCATGAACAGATGCCAGAACGCATGCAGAATCGGACATCAGGTCCTGTGTAAAAGAAATGGTGTGGCCAAGTAAGCGGTCGTGTTGGTTGGGCATAATAATTCTCATGCCCCAGTGTTGAGGCGGTTGCATTCCCGGCGGGATCAGCACGGATGATTTGTCCCAATTGACCGAAGTTTGCGAGACATGGCAAAACTGTTCCACCGTGCCCTGCAGGGCTTGAAATGCCCCGTAAGTGGGCGGGATAACCGCCATTGCATCATCAGCAAAGGCCTCCGATTTAAAGCGGTGTCCCGACGGTAGCAATAAGCCCGGGATGTTGTCGTTCGTTCTAATCAATATGTGTAATACCTCCACGTACAAAATATACAAGTAAGGAGCCAGTGGGCAACCTTGCCGAACCGACCTCATCAACTGTATCGGTGGGGGGAGAGTTTCATTGATGATCAAGTGTGACACACTATTGTTGCAAATAACCGCCACACCTGCTTTGAATCTCGGCCCAAACCCAAATGCTGTGAGAGTGGCTTGCAGAAACTCCCAGCCTACACGATCATAGGCCTTCTCCAGATCCAACAACACTATTGCATACTGGTCTTCCCCTGAAAGCACCAGTTCCACTATCTCTTCCGCCATCATCACATTATGCAATATCTGTCTCCCTGGTATGAACCGCGTCTGAGATGGGTGAATGATATCCGACAAGACCGTCTGCAAGCGGAAGGCCATTATTTTAGCAAAAATTTTGTACAAGGATGGCATCAGTGTAATTGGTCTGTAGTTGCGTACGTCCCCTGCATCACCCTTTTTATACAAGAGCATAATGACTCCTGTTAACATGTCCAACGGGGGAGCAGCCCCGTTCCAAATATACTGGAACATGTTCAGCAGCAGCGGCGCCAACCGCAACGCGTATTTCCTGAAGAAGTATCCTGGCAACCCATCCATCCCAAGGGCTTTGTGTCTTGGTTGGGCCCGGCATGCCCGCAAGACCTCATCGAGGGTAACGTCCTCGTCTAAGAGCTGCAGGTGCACGGGTGTGAGAACAACTTGAATTTTGGACCAGACTGAGTAATGGAAATCTGCCAACAGCTGATTCTCCGTTTACTGTGCCTGTGAGGCCAGCAGCGCTTCGTAGAACAGGGAGACGTTAAGCATGACTCTCGCTGTGCTTTCTGCTACTGGCGCCATGGGGTCCGTAGGATGCGACATAGCTCTAATCAATGATGGCACGGACTTGCGGCGGTGCCCTCGAAAGAAGGCTGCAGTCATTCTATCACCTTTAGTCAGCCATTGCACTTTATTTTTATTGGCTGCAGTCCTAAGAGCCGGGAGCACCTCGATGGTCCAACGTTGTCGTATAGAGTCGAGACAAGTCATCGGCGCAGTTTCATCAAAGGCGGGAGTGGAAGTCAATTGGGCTAATTGATTATTCAAATCTGTGAGAGCGGATATGCGGTCTGCCGTCAATTTTTTTTTAAACAAAAGACCCATGCTTTTAACCGATCTCAACCCCCCCAAAAGCCACGCGGTTGAGGACAGATACAATGGTCTAGAGTGAACCCAATTAGACCAAAAAATTTGCATGTATTGGGTCATATATCCAGAGTCCAAAACCCATTCAGGAAGGGTATTCCTGCCGACACCTGCTCTGACAACAGGGTGCTGGTAGCACTGCAAGAGGAGAGGTAGGTGATCCGATCCTCCGAACGGGACTACTACACATTTGGCTAACAAGGGTTGAAGCGATTTTGACAGAAAGAACAAATCTATTCTACTACGAGGGAGGTATTGCTGGTGACCAGTCGCAGAGGCAAAATAGGTGTAGGTCCTAGGGCATAGGTGCAACTGCCTGAATGCGTCAACCAATCGTTGCTCTGCAACAACTGTGGAAAGTAAGATGGCGTCCGAGGACAAAGGGGCAACCCTGGGTAAATCCATACCTGGCACAAGGGTGGTGTTCCAATCGCCCCCCAAGACCAGTCTATCCACCGCAGGTAACAGCTAGGGGATGGATTTAAAAAAATCCAATCTTGGCTGTTGCCGAGACGGTACATATGCATTGAAAACTGCCCAATCATCTTGCCCTACCGTAAATCTCACCCAGACCCATTTCCCCGCAAAATCCATATCGTAGTCTGTCACCGAGAAGGGGAAGTTGCGAGAGAACAAAATCGCAACTCCCCCTCTAGAGCCCACTGCAGGGGCCCATAACTGTTGTCATGTCCACCATCCCAACTGCTCCTGTGTAGCTTCTGAGTCCAGTTTTGTTTCCTGCAACAGCAGGATCTGTATTCCTTTATTTCTCATCAATGTTTTAATCAAGGATCTTTTCACCGCCACCCTACGGGACCCTAGCCCACGCACGTTCCATGATGCTAATCTGATCTTGTCCATTTACCCGTTGATGTCCTCCCAGTCCGTGCATTTGAGATGTAAGAAGTTATTCGAAAACAGGCTTTTGTGCCAAGGGATAGCCGACTCCACTAGAGTAAGCAGACCACTATTCCAACAATCGTAAATCCGCGTGTCCACAGCAGTCTGTCCTTGCGGGTTCTGCATCAGTGTCCAGGACAACCAACCAAGGCCCGGAAGAGGTGTTGGCGTTGTGGTGGCCGGGTTGACCACCACATCCAAGATCGGGAAGATCATAATATCTATCCTTCCTTGGTCGTTGGTCGGAGTGAGTCTGGGCCATTCCATTTATGGGAAGACTCTAATCTTAAAGGCCGGAGAAATCCACTTACCCACCTCTCGTAGCACGACTTGCGGGGACGGATCTTCGTGCAACTCAAAGTGCGGGATCGTCAGAGCGGCCACTGCAGAAACTGTTGTCAACAACTGCATAAGCCCATCGACAGCAGTGAAGACCAGCGGCACGACAACCCATGGTTTTCCCGCCGCTATTGCTTCTGTAATCGAGCCAGGATACACCTGGGATCGAAGCGGTTGTCTGATCTCTGTCGGCTGGAGTTGTTGTCGATGCTGCAAGTGCAGTTCTTCTTGGAGTGTTGTTGGTTGCTGCGACAGAGGAGCGGCACTCCGCAAGTCTGTTGGCTGCAACCCCTCCGGCTGTGTAGCCGTGTCTGTCATATCTGCCCAAGAAACAGATCTTGCTTGAGACGCATCTGCTAAGGTACGGCGATCCTGAGAAGGCCGATCGTAAGGGCCCGGTTGCTGCTGCCTTAGTCCCCCTGTGGTCACTTTTTTGCGCTGCGATTGGTACGGATCTCTCTGTTGCAGTATAAGCACTTCCTCTCCCGTAATCTCTTTCGTCGGAGGGGGTGCCTCCTTGTAGCCATCATCCCCCCCAAGTTGCTGTTGCTCGGTAAGCCGTCCTGGTCCAACTCTTGGTACTGTCATTCCTTGTGCCTGCTGTCGAAGTTGCAGCTGAATCCCACCTTCAGTAGTCGTGGGGTGAGGCGAGGTGGGCAGGAGATGCCCATCTCGAACAGCTGGTAGAGGCATTCCCAGAGGCACTGACGAAGCTGTAGGCAATGGCGAAACTGGTGGGGGAAGGCCCTCTCCGATAGTAGGTGACAGCGTGGCAGCTGGTGAAGGCAAAGGCGCAGGCTCATGTGAAAGGTTTCCTCCACTCTGCTGACGCGGGTTCATTCCTCCTGTCGTTTCCCCTCCCGGCGGAGGTCCCCCCACCGGAGGTAATCCTCCCGCCACCGAGACAGAAGAACCATGTTCTTGGAGAGCCGGATTGTTCCCCACAGGCTGATGTCCTCCAGGCAGAGGCCCCCCGGGCGAGGACCCTCCCGGTGGAGGTCCCCCCATCGGCGGCAAGCCTCCTCCCGCTGGTGCTGGAGGCCCACCCGCCGCCCCCGGCGGGCGTCCACCCACCGGCGGCGGCACTCCTGCCGCTGAAGCAGAAGAACCACCCGGATTGTTCCCCAGCGGCTGAGGCCCTCCTGGTGGAGGTCCTCCCACCGGCGGCAAGCCTCCTCCCGCTGGTGCTGAAGGACCACCCGCCGCCGCCCCCCGCGGACGTCCCCCCTCCGGCGGCAGCCCTCCTGCCGCTGAAGTAGAAGAACCACCACCCTCCACCTCCGAATATGATCGTCCTTGTGGCCTGCTCGCTTTGGGACAGTCCGATGCTCCAGTATCATGACCGTACCAACTGCAGTCGCGGCACCATGGAGTTTCCTGTGTCACGATATCCACTTTATGCCATCCGTGTGGAGATCGGAATTTCAACGATTTCGATATCCTGGATTTCGCCGATGGATGCATGTCATACCGTCGGTTCACCAATCTAGGCGCCGCTTTATTCTTCTTTGGGGGAAAATCTTTCAACACTTGACCGAACTCCTTGGACACCGCCGCTTTAAGATAGGGCATTGCCCAAAAAGGCACTCGCAACACTCTAATCCAGAAAAAATTGTCTTGCGTTTGTTGCCGGATCGTCGCTTGTTCTGCCGGAGTGGCCCAAGGCCTGAACTGGACCTTGCATGGTTAACCGTCCACTAGGGAAGGGACACTGGACCCGGTTTCCAGTCACAGCTGTAGCTGGGTTTCGTCCCCAGTACCTTCCGGGTTGAATTGCGAAGACCCCGGCTTCATCTCATTTATTTATCAACAAATTAGACAGCTCAAAAAAAAAAAAAAAAAAAAAGAAACGAGGGTGCTACGCTATGCTAGTTTGGAGCTTGGGCGCTGGGACTGGGTCTCCATCTTTCAATGGGGTACAGAGGTACCACTGCCAGCGCTCCGAATCAGCAGTGCGTTTTTTTTTTTGCTTTTTTGTTTTTGTTTTGGTTTGCAGCGAGGATCTAAAAAAAAAAAGAAAAAAGAGTGAGGACTCTCTGCGCGTGAAGTTCGAGGTCCGAAGCGCGGCGAGAATTCAGTCAAGGACTGGGAGCGCTGTGTACACTCGAGCGTGAGTAGTGGTAGTGATGTGGGCGCTCATTTCTCTTCTTTCACGCGGAGCTTCTCCTGCGTTCGACTAACGGAGGTAGGTGTGCTAGGATACGTGAGTCACTGAGGTGTCTATGCTCGCTTGGGGAAAGCTGGGGATAGCTGGGGAAAGCTGGAGGCTGTGGCTATGGTGAAACAGCGGCAGCGACTGCGCGCGGTATGGGGCGTGTTTCCCCGTGGGATGCTCTTACGGGCAGTCGTCCTTTCTGAAGGTCTGATCTTTCTCTTGGTTGTGGGTTTCTCCGAATGCGTCCGCGTGGTGGACGGGGAAGCACGCGCAGAGAGAACTACTGACTCTGAGGGGAGACGGAGCGAAACATCGCTCTTCGCTGAGAATGCCTTCGTTCTGATTCGGAATTCTGCCGGCAAGAAAGAGTCTTCAAGATCGTTGCTCGCTGCTGGTACGCAGCCAGGCCTTCCGTCTTTAACTGTCCTGCAGACGGACCTGGTCGTTAAACTACGAGTCACGCTGAGACACGTGGCAGAATATCCTTTCCAGACGCCAAACAGTGCCACCGTATGGTGCGGACACACCATCCGCGACGTAGTCCTCGATCCCGTCGACCTCATCCTCTATTACGTTCTTCGGGAGGAATGCGAGCGCCAGACTGGCGTCGAATCCACGGTAACACATGGGCGGGTGTCGTACCGAAAGGCGGCCTTGTGGAACATCAGTGCCGATGGCCTCGTTAAGGAGGAGGTGATCAGCTACTGGTGGAACGCGAGCGTGCCAGAGGGCCCGGCCGCTTCTGCTCCTATTTTTGTCCTCGATCCCGAAACCAACTCTTCCATGGACATGGTTATGGCCAATGGCATGGATCTCTCCCCTTCCCGCTCCCACCTCGTCGCGGGTGTGCGAATGCCCAGAGAAAAGTCGGATTTGGTGCTCCTTTCTGTTGCCGATGGCAGTCGTTTGGCCTTCCCGTCAAAGGCGGACGCTCTCGGGAGCTTGGCGTTCAGCCCCGACAAGAGTCACCTGTACACAGTAGATCGTTACGAACCGACGATTCGCCTAGAGTCCGCAGCGGTGGCAGCTGGTCCCGACGGTCTTCCTCTGAGTGCAGCCACTTCTTTCGAGCTGGAGGCAAGCTTTACCCAGAATGGGAACCCGAACATCACGGACATGACGTTCGGTTCCCAGAGCTTCGCTCCAGACGGAAGCTGTCTTTATTTCCTGGACTCCGCCTTCAGGAGAGTGTGGGCGCTCGACCTCTCATCAACACCGAAGACGCCGATTCTGGTTGCAGGTACGGACGAGGCAGGGATTCAGGACGGGGATCCTTCGATGGCAAAGTTCGAGTATCCGCGAGAGTTGGCCGTGACATCGGACGGATGCAATCTCTTTGTGTCTGAGAGGAGCGGTTTTCTGCGATGGATCGAGCTCGAGCAACCGTGTGGAAGAGCTCGGAGCGTGCACACGGTGGTCAGATACGGCCCCGGAGGGTTTCGAGGACTGGCGCTCCGTAGCAACGGCACTCAACTGTACGTCTACTTGGGTTCGAACGATGGCCACCTCTTCGAGGTGGAGATCAAGCAGGACCTGCTGCCAGTATGCGGACCGCTGCCTTCATCGTCGTCGTCCCAGCCATCGCCGCTATCCTCCGAGTCCCCCCCTTCCTCCTCTCACTCCTTTCCCAGCTCTACAGCCACGCCTTCCTCCTCTTACTCCCCTCTTTCCACGTCTTCGTCCTCTGCCTCCTCTCCTTCGTCCACACGTCCTTCCTCCTCCGGTTCCTCCGGAGGTCGCATGGTTCTCCTCGTCGTCCTTCCGATTGTGTCCGTGTCAGTTGTGGCTCTCGTTGCTGGCGTGCTGTTTGTTGTCTGCCGGCGGCGCAGAGAGGACGGAGTCACGCAGTCATCAGCTCGAAGCCAGGCTTATAAAGGGCAGCAGCAACCGTTCTCTACTGGGTCCAACACCGAGGTGCCGGTGAGCAGTTCGGCTGGAGTGCTGCAATCCGGGGAGGACTCTCTCATCTTTCCACCTCATCGCCGAGCGGACGATGGCCTCCACCCTACCGCGGTGAGACCATTCCCCCTCCGCGACCTTGAACAGTGCACGAAGAACTTCGATTCCAGCTATCGGATTGGCGAAAAGGGCGCGTTTGGCGCAGTGTATTGGGGTCATATCGGTGGGGCGGATCTGGCAATCAAGGTGATGGACGGGCGATTGACAGAGTCGGGACGGAGGCAGTTTGTTGCGGAAGTTAACACTCTCAGCCGCCTTCATCATGGCAATCTTATCGAGCTCGTCGGCTACTGTGACGAGGGAAGCAAGTCCATACTGGTGTACCCCTTCTTCCCCGGCAGTAGCTTGCACGCCCGCCTTCACAACCGGCAGACCATTCGCGCTCAAGCCCCCGTTCCTCCTCTGACGTTGCTGGAGCGCGTGTCCGTCGCGTTGCAGATCGCGGAAGCTCTGCGATATCTCCATTTCGGCGCGAATCCCGCGGTGATTCATCGCGACGTCAAGAGCTCAAACGTTCTTCTGTCGGGTGGCGCTGGGGACAACCTCCGCGCTGTCCTCGCAGACTTCGGCCTGGCGACGATCGTCGAGAAAGTATTCCAGACGAAGGTGGACGTGACTGTGCAAACTTTTCACATTTCCGGCACGCATGGGTACATGGCGCCGGAGTTACTGAATGGGAGATTGTCCGTGAAGAGCGACGTGTACGCTTTCGGAGTCGTCGTTCTGGAGCTGTTGACAGGTAAGCGGGCGATAGTGCCGGGATCCGAACCTGGAAGTGAATCGTATCAGCTTGTTTTCTGGGTGAAACACGCCTACAATGATACGAGATTGGACCTCGTTCGAAGCGTTCTTGACCCTTCGTTGCTGCCCGAAGTTGGGAGGAGTGATGCTCTCATGAACTCGATGATGAAGGCCATCTCGTTGGCGATGGAATGCTGCTTGGAGGACGATAAATCCAGGCCGACGATGACCTCTGTCCTTGATAGAATGACAACCATCGTGTCCGACGTGAGGGAAGGGAGACTGGAAGTCAACCGGTAGGGGGGGCAGTTTATCCGCTTGCTAGTATACGCCATCTACGAATCCCCAGCCCCTCCCCCGTGAGGGGCGGGGGGCGGAGGAGGTCGCCGAACACGACGCCATGGGTCCCCATGAGGAGATTGTGGGGGATGAGGTGGCTGCAGATGAAGGGTGTGACTGGGATGAGGACATGCAGCCCGTAGAGGCAATAAGCGTGTAGATAATGCCAGCTGATGAAGAAGAGGGGGCTACCATAGGCGCAGATGAGGATGGCGTGGAGGTGGATGCGCTGGTAGAGGGCTCCAACTGGCACACACGGGCCGACAAGGATGAGACATCGGTCTGGAGGGCCGTGAATCTAGCCTCGATACGCTGGAGTATGTCCAATATGGGGTCTGACTGGGAAGTCGGGCCTGAGCTGGTTGCCATCTGGGTGGCCACTGAGTCGGAAGTCTGCTCTTGGGCAAAGAACGCAAACCCTTCGCTGGTGGAGCGGGCGGGGCTCGCAGATCCCGTCGTGTGCATGATGTCAGGGGGTGGAGACTGTGGGGAGTGAGAACTGGGACGGGTGGGTGGCTCAGTGGTAGAAGGCGGTGCGTCAAAGCGAGCGAGTCGGTTCGCGGCGCGAGTGTCTCGGGCGCGATTTTGAAGTGCTCTCTGATGAGGATCACGGGGAGCCAGGTTGGTACGCAGAAAGAGGAGTAAGGGACTACAATAGGAGGGCGGGTATGAATGAGGTCTGACGAACGTCCAAAATTAAATCAAGGAAACTCAAAGTYGGRTTGAGGGCAAAAGAGGAAAATTTCCAATTCGGGGAAGACAATGAGAGGAAATTTTCAAAGAATAGTGTGGGGTCTAGATAGGAGCAAGCATAAGACAATCACGAATTCAAAATAAAATTCCGAAAGTATTTGGACGTAATTTCAGAATTTTAGAAGTAATTTAAGCAAAATTCAAAGAATTTCAAAAATAGTCGTAAAATTTTTGAAAGTTCGAGGAGATGATGAAATATGTAGAGATGAGATGATAGGAAAATTTTGAAATAAAATGGATAATTTCTCAACGTATTTTTGGAATTAAAADAATTTCAACGGCAATTTGAAATAAAAGTAGAAAATTAATTCCTAAATTAAGAATTTACGATGGAATTTCAGAAAGAATTAGTGATAGCTGCATAAAGTAAGTTGAGAGGGACTCCAGGATTGTGTAGATCAAMTGAATAAAATTTCTTGACTTGTTTTAAGATCAAAATGAATTTCAAAGAAATTTCAAAGGAATTTCAAAAAGAATTTCAAAAACGACGGAGGAATTTTGGAATTTTACGGGAGATAGAAAATAGAAGGAAATTCGACATTGGAAAAATTCTTTGTAGTAAATTYCAAAATTTATTTCAYRAATTTCTGAAATGAAATTGAACTTTGAAATTAAATAACGAAAATTTGCATAACTTTTGAACAAGACTGCCGAAATTAATTCCGATTACGGCGTTGGGAGAAAAGAAGATGGAGAGTAATCCTATCGAGTTAGATTGAAATTCTGAACGACAGAATGGACGGCATTGTCAGGCAAGCACAAAGAAGGAMGATACGTGTCACACGTAGTAGGAATTTTGGATGATGCAGCCAATTAGGTGGGAGGGTGGAGGAGAGAAGGGGTGTTGGAGAGGAGATAAAAGATGGGGAAAAAGATGAGATCTTTGAGAGAAACCGGCGAGAGGAAGAGAGGGGATTAGTAGGAGGGAGATAGAGTGACAATACCGCGCTCTCGGTTGGCCGGGAGCAATGAATGTCCTTCCTCCTAGTCGAGGAAGGTCTTCAGATCACCCCTAAAGGGTCTTCTCGATCGTTCCCCCGGTGGGACGACGAGGTCGCCGGATCGAAAGCGCGCAATGAAGGTAAGAGGCCGTGGGGATCGACGATAKCGGYGACGATGATGATGATGATGGTGATGATGGCCACGAACCACCTCTAGCTTGAGTCCTGAAACGCTAGAGGATCGATAGGCAATGCTCTCACAGTTTGTCTTCGTACTGGAAATCAAAATGGAATGAGCTTTTGTCCTTTTGCTCCACATGAGATTGCTGATCTCGTTGGGCGTAGGACACCTGCGYTATCTTCAAACAGATGTGCCGCTCCAGCAAGTAATCYYGTTGTGCATATGCGTGCGGGAGAAAAGTAGSTGGGGGGGAAGGGAGCGGCAGGGTGGGTGTGACTTGGCATGGGATGGGGGTCGGGATTGGAGTGACGTGGCAGGTGGGGTTGGGCATTACTAGGGGGCGCACAAGTGGGAGCGGGGCAAAGCGCGATTGGGCGGGGGTGGTTGGGATCGGAGTTGGGAAAGGTCGGGATCGATAGGGAAGAAGTTCCGTGAGGGAAGGATGAAAAGAACTTTGAAACGAGAGTTAAAGAGTGCTTAAAATTGGCGGGCGGGGGAGCAGTGGGATCAGGCGGGTAGGGGGATCAGGTAAGAACAGGGTCAGGATCGGGTCGTGGGGGGAGGTGGCATCGCAATC